GTCAATCGGATCCATTTTCAACAGATCGGCCGAATTCCCACCCTGCGGTGCGTGATACGAGATCAATGACACCAATTTAGAAGCAAGGTGAAGCTTATTGGAAGCTAGCTAATAAGAGGAGGAAGCCAGAATTCTACAATTAGCAACTCGGCAATGGGGTCCAGCTCTTATAATAGAACCGGTTCAAGTGTGTAGTTGCCCAAGTTCACTTTCAAACACATTTAGACTTCACTAGTGGAGTTTTTTTCTTTTGTTTTTGTTTTTTTTCCCCCCCACCATCTGCTCCATTCCTTCAAGTGATTGTTGTACGCCGTCCTCGTGCCGGCTGGCGTTCACTGTATTTCCCACTCCACTTTCTGCACACACAAAACGGACATGCTGACTAATTAGCCCAGCGTGAACGAGAGAGGGTTTGACTTAGTGGAGCCATTTGGCATCGGACAATGAGGAAGTTGAAGAAAAAAAGAACACTATCAACATACCACCAAATATCTATTGTCATTCTGTTCCAAAGTTTGTCTATACTTCTTCTTATAAGCAGAGTATTTTTTTTTAATGTATCTGTAGTTGTAATTTAAGGGTGAGTACTTTTGCCATCTCGGCCTGACGATGCTATGCTAGCCCTCCCATTGGACTGCATCGTCACTGCGGCTCAGTGTGGCGGAGGGTGGCCCCCTCCGGGCCTCGCTGGCTGATGTACGATTTGGACACCTCTAGCCATATATAGATTCTAGGTCAGGCGCGGGTCAGAGGTCCGCCCATTTAGTCGTTCTCTGCGGCGAGACTTTCACGCTACAGTTGTCATTCTTGATGGTCCTTAGGTATTCCATTTAGGACTACAAAGGTCTCCAACTAAGCAGCACGCCATAACAATCCATCCATCCATTTTCTATACAGCTTATCTAACAAACTGACTGTGCAAAGAATTACTTTTTTTTTTTTTTTTTTTTTTTTTTAACATTTCTGCTTTGGCTTCGAGACAAATAAATAATATCGCCAATTCCACCTATTCGAAATGGATTTTTCTTTTGTTTTGTTTTGTGTTCTTTGCACTGTATTTCTGTTATTGTCTGAGAACGGGAGCCAAAACGATGGCATTAAAATATTAACAGCTGCATGAAATAGAATGCGCTGCGCATTGTCAGCGAATTTAGCCTACAATAATCTCTTTTATCAGACAGATTTGTGAGCCAATACATGAAAATACAGCACAGACAGGAATGTATAGACACCTTAATAAGAGAGCGCGTTCTTTACACGCAAAAGGAGCCTGCAAAAGCCTCAGCTGCTCCCACCCTTCTTTTTGTGTCGATGTGGAAAAATGATGTCTCAATGAAGCACAATGGGGGAAAAAAAATCCGTCTTCCCGTCTTTTCTTTAGCTAACGCTCAATAACCACCCGTACACCCGGGCTAGCTTCTTGGTTGACTCCTTGTGAGGTGTTTTCTCTCACTTCATCGTCCTACTTCCAAACTAATGAGAGACCTAAACTCCATCCAAGTCAATAGAAACTTTAATCATCGTGCTTCAAGTGCATTAATGAGCACAATTGAAAATAGTCATCCATCAAAACGCGGAGTGGGACCCCCGAAGCGGTCCGAGTCAAATTAGATTAGCCGTCTGCTCTGAATTTGACTTGACACGAGATCATTAATATTCGTGACAACGGCCTCTCCTTCCTTACATTTCATTAGCTCCATTCACGGCTCTGTTGGTGTGGGCGCTACACTATTGATGTGCAGTGTCCTATGTGTGATAAATGAAGGCGCAGAGGTCAAACATAGTGCACTTCACCTTATATTTTGCTCAATAGTACAAAAAAAAAACCACGTTTCTCTCAGATCACCGCCACTGCCTACTGTGCAATACTTGACCTTTGGGCTTTTAGCCCTCAGCTGACAGGACAGATCAATACACATTAGGAGTTTACTCAAGAAGACAGTCAAAACAAATCAGTGGGGATCTGGATGATCCGCAATACGTTCATTGTTAAATGTCTTCAACAGTGAAATCTCACTGTTGTAGACATTTATGTATTGTTGATTCATCCAACTGTCATCGGGCAATGTTTTTTCTCAATTTGTTTATCCACCAATTTATCATCAATTTGTCTTTTATCATTCATCATGATTTACCTTTGACAATTGATTCTTTAACCCGTCAAAATTCATCCTTATCCCATTATCATTGATGAACCCATCGCTCATCATCCATCATCCTTTAGCTATTCTACTAATCACATTTTACCCATCATACTTCATCCTTTATGTGTCACCCGTCATTCTTTTCTAATCATCCATCATATTTTACATTACACTGATTTCATCATCCATCATTCTGTACTCATCTTCCATCATCTGTTACCCATCATATTTCAATCTGTAACAATCATGTTTTACCCATCATCCATCATGTTGTCGCCATCAGTCATCATTTACCCCTCTCTAACTCCTCCTTTATCCTGCATACCTCATTTTTGACTGATCAACCTTCTTCAACCTGTCATAATTCATTCTTGACCAACCATCAAGCCAACTTTCCATCAATTGTCAATGCATATCATCCCATACCATTCATGCATCATATTTCACCCATCCTCATATCCATCAGTCACACTTTGCATCTTAGTCGGGGGCGGCACGGCTCGGTGGGTAGAGTGGTAGTTTCCCAACCGAGAGGTTGGTGGTTTGATCCCCGGCCACTGCGACTTGAGCAAGATACTGAACCACCGGGTGCTCCTGATAATGCGTCATCACTAGGTGAATGAGGTAACATTGGAAAGCGCTTTGAGTACCCGAGGTAGAAAAGCGCGACATAAGTGACAGCCCATTTCCAGGTTTGCTAATCATCATCAACAGAATACGGTCATGGAAACGGAACGTACACCATTTAGTACAAGGTTGATTTCTTCCACTGTTATCTATAAGTACCTCCTCTTGCCCTCTGAATGACTGTGCGCATCCCTGACTTCAAACCACCTCCGCAGCCTCACTTCACTTACCCTGCTCTTGTCTGTGTGGCTGTCGTCAGGTGCTGGCTGCTGATGCTCGGACCGTCGCGTGGAGCGGACAAGCCCTGGTTGATGCAGTGAAGTATTTCTGCGGGAGTCGACGCAAAAATTAGGTAATAGGCAAGCACAAGGGCAGGGAAGTAGCGAAATAAGGACACGGAACATATGGCGGGGCCAATAAGAAGCAACGGAAGGGACAATTTAGGGAGGATGAAGGACATGGAGGGAGAAAGTTGCATATGCAGATCCGGGTCACAGTCCCTTTGAAGGTGACGAGAGACGCATATGGAGATTAGAAGGTTTGACTCGGCGGCCATGTTGGGGAGCAGAGCTGGTTTGTAATGCAGCCCCCCCAAGGCGGTGACAGGAGGGATCTTTCATGGAGGGCTGAAAGCAAGCCGGGAGCGTGGCTGTTGCCGCTTGGCTTCCTGTCTGGGCGCCGTGTGGGAACGCATTTGGCGTCTGAAGGACTGCCTTCTCTCAGCAGACTGCTGATGAGGGTTGGCGTGCAAGCCAACGTGGCCCACAAACACACTTACGCACCACACATCTGATGACCTTTGCGTCACGTGCATTACGGGTAGCGATTTCCGTCCTGCCACTTGGATTGCTTTTACACCTGCGGGCCACCAGCGCGAGTAAAAAGCAGCTTGATGGAGATGCGCTGTGACAACACTAGGTCGAGAGAAGTGGTGAAATAGAGAAGGCGAGCTAGAGGGTATCTAATATTTTTTTGGGGTGACGGGAGCTGAAAAGGAAAAGAGACGGTTTTGTGTTTGCTTACACACAAGCTGACAATAATGCCTTCAGATATAGGAAAGGAGAACCAGCCGTCGATACTCTTTAAGCCATTTCTTGAATGCTGGGAGAACAGTAAAACACACTCATGCAGGACACAGAAACTCGCCGACACCAACACACAGATACTATGAAACAACCGCATTTTCTTTTGTGTGTGCAGATTCGTTAAAAAGTGCAATTCACAAGTTTAAAATGTGTGGGAGGGGAAAGACTATGGGGAAAAAGAAGTTATTTTGTGGTTTCCAGCTTGTGCATTTTCATCGATTGGGGGCGGTCCTGGAAAGTATCCTGTGCAAAATGGGGTTTCACTGCATTAATGATCTTTGTATCCCAAGAGCTTCTGCTTTCACGAGCAAACTTGGGCACGGGAGAAAAGCTGCGGCTTTAAATAACAATCTGAAAGAGAGAAGTGTGAAGTGGAAAGAGATGCGCCGAGACGCAAAGCGAAACGAGGCGGGAGTGGAAGTTATTAACCGTTGAGCAACAGCAAACCCCGATTCCACGGAATAACACACAAGGGAGAAAAGAGGCACTTAAAAGGATACAGGCAAACAAGTGGTGACGCATTTTAAAAGGGACAAAAAAAAAAAAAAAAACAAAAACGGGTAAGCGGCTTTTGTCCATTTGCAGCAGTGTTTCAAAGAAAAATATTAAAGATGGCCGTAATCAGATAAGTGTGTGGTGTGTGTGATGGAGACTTTTTTTCCGCCCCTCCAGCATCCTTAGCTGTGAGGCGAGTGGACCATATCACCAGGCCAACAGTTACCTGGCAACCATAAGCCGAGCGCTGCTCTCAGCCTGGACCGCATATCGCTACTCTGTGTGTGTACGGTCGTTGGACACTCGATTAGGTATACTTGCACAAATGTGTCTCTTGACTGCTCAGTTTTGATTCATTGTCTTAATTTGCACCGCGTTACACTGAGAACTGTTTTTAAAAAAATATGCTAAGATTCTATTGTAACGCTAAATGAGGTTGAACAATGATGTCACGGAAATAAACAGATTGGTATTATTTTTCTATCGTACGTCACCGCTAACAAATGGGTGTGCATCAGTGGACTTTGGGTGGCCCGACTGGTGGCGCCGGGCCAGCAGACCGCCACTAATGTCAGACCCTGGGTCCTTTACACGTTAGACTTCCCTCAGATTTTGCCCATCCTACGTCATCCTTTATCAATCCGATTTCAAACATCAACCGAAATCTCTTACTCGTCATTCCTCACTGATCATATTTCGTTACTGACCTCGAGATGTATTCATGAGGTTGGAGCAGGTGGTCAGTCACAAGAAGACCACCGCAGTGACTACCATAGAAGACATCAAGAGTGAAGCGAGAGTGATTCAGCATGTACAGCTCAGCTTCTCCCCCTATAACGCGACCCAACAGAAGCGGAGGCAAAGCACACGAGACGGGCCGCAGCTCTCGGGCCACAGATGATATGAAAGCGCTTCAGTCGGTGTCAGCAACTGACCGTGTAACTCAATTCCTTCCATTTTGCTCCTCTTCAATCCTCTTCCTCCAAGTGCTGCATTATGAACTCCCTCTGCCCTCGCCGTGGCATCGAGGGAACATTCGAGCGAGGCTGGATTTTTGTTCTGCCGCATGGTCACAATGCAGGTGGGGTACACTGGCCATATCATTAGGTACACCGGCCAGGGATGGACATATCAATTGATTTATTCGATCGGTGATTTGCAAAGTGTTGTACCGGGGACCCATCTTGGATCGTAAATAATCAGTGAATGAAATGTTCAAACTGTACATAAGAATACAGTGGCTAAACCCTGCTTTAAATACAGTACATGGTTTAGGTACAGTTCAGTTGTATTTCACTTTTAAAACAGGCGGGGAAATGCCTGAGTCATGAGTTTGGCGCACATCTCATCAAAAGAGCAGCAACATTTCTCTGTTTTTTCCAGTTTGTTTTGGGGAAAGAACACCAGACAGTTTCATTTCCTCAGTGGGCTCATATTAAAGCTTGCATCACAGCATGCTGGCTGATGTTTACTGCCTTATAGTCTGCCCATCACGCACCGGCATATTATTTGATATTTCATCCAAGAATTGCCATGGCTAAGGTGAGAATGCTAAGTTTTTGGTCTAAGGTGAGAGGTGCTTGGTTTTTGGTATCAGTTTGGAATTGTTATGGCTGTTATCTACGTACGGCGTTTTGCTTCAGACGCACTTGTTTTCTTAAAGTAGTTTTAACCTCAAATTGATTTCAGGACTATTGTTGTTCATGGAGAATTTGTGAAACATTTCTTGTATGGGATGTCAGGAGAGTGGCAGAGCTGGATTTTTGCACTTCTCCAATTCCGAAAGTTAAGCAATGAGCAACATAACGAGTGACTTTTTAGCTTGTTATTTAGACAGCTGAAGACTCTGAGACTGCGTCCAAATGAATGAATGGTGCTTAACTCAAAGCTACCATTGGCTAATTTAACCTCAACAATAACCACACATCCATCCATCCATCCATTTTCTAATCCGCTTATCCTCACGAGGGTCGCGGGAGTGCTGGATCTATCCCGACGGGATAGGCGGGGGACACCCTGAACAGGTTGCCAGCCAATTGCAGGGCACACAGAGACAAACAACCATCCGCGCTCACATTCACATCGAGGGACAATTTAGAGTGTTCCATTCACCTGCCATGCATGTTTTTGGAATGTGGGATGAAATCAGAGTACCTGGAAAAAAACCCACGCAGGCACAGGGAGAACATGTAAACTCCACACAGGAAGGTCAAATCCGGAATAGAATCTCTCTGCACCGTGATGCGGACGTCCCAACCAGTTCACCACCGTGCCGCCTCGACAATAACCAAACACTGAAAATGACTCTCGTAAGTGGAAAAGTAGTGTCACGTTTCCCGTATGGGATCTCATTCCATTGTCCGGGCGTATAAATAATGTTGTGGGCCAATCTGAAGGTCCATGACGACGTAACCGGGCCTTTCATCGCATTGGCTTGCTACATAGGATTAGCACGTGGCCGCAGGCTAGTAAGTGTGCAGCGCTTGTTAAGAAATATCTATAGACCGATGTACAGTGAGGGGCATTAGAGGGGGAGACAAGAGTGTGCAAAGCAGGCTGTTATTAGGTTACGATAGCCGTGTAAACGGATTAGAAGCTACTGGAGAGCTCCCAGTGAGCGAGCTAAATGATTCACTGCTGGATTCAGACGCCCAACCTCTAATCGAATAGGACAATTAAAGGCACAAACTCAGCGTCATTTTTGGCCTTTCCAAAGACAGAAGGGGCGGGGGGCGTTATAGTGATGTGATTTTTGTCATTTCCAACGGGTTTTTGCGCATTGTGTGCATTTTTTTTGTTTGTTTGCTGTTTCCTCCCGTCCAGGTCGCCAGCCATGGGGAACCTCATTAAGGTCCTTGGCAAGGATTTAGAAAACTGTCCTCATTTTTTCCTGGACTTTGAAAGTAAGTAAGAGGTGTACGTGCTTGGGATGATGTGAGTGCACGTGGGTGTGTGTTGATGTGTCTGTGTGTGTTTGTGTGGAGCAAAGGTGTACTGTGGGAGGCGGCAGGGTGGAGGCACTTTACCGGTTTGCCGATTGTGTAATGCCGTGTCGTCGTGGGTGTTGTTCGTTGTTATCAGAGCCTCTGTAGTCCCACTTCTGCATTATTAGGTACAGATGCACGATCTGATGAGACCCTGTTAAGGGAAAAATGATCAGCCTTTGGGAGACAACAAGCAATTCTATTATATTTTATATATATGTTTTTTTTTTTGAGGCAAACAATGTCAATATTGTTGTGTCAATATTATTTTTCATGGCTAAAGATGTTGCGTTAGCGGTCACGCTACCGTTATGTTGCTGATCAAATTGACCAATTGTGGCGTTAAAAACCCTCAAAAATATTTTTTGAAATGTTAAAAAAAAAAAAAACAACTATTATTAATGCACTACATAACGGTGCAAATAACAAATTCATTGTTTGATTTCCTGAGTGGGACTAAAGAAGATCTGTGTCCACGTCGCCATGCGCCCACCATGCCATCCCAACAGCTCACTCATCCCGCTCTGACACATATACACACACATGCAAACACTCACACACACACACACGTATGGGGACACACACACGCAGGTGGCACCAGCACGTACACCACCCCGACACCCGTCCCCTCATCACCCACAGATGTCTCCCCTCTTTCTGTTCCAGGGGGCTCATGGGAAACCTCCTGAAAGTGCTGGCTTGCGCCGAACTTGAGCATGGCCCAATAGTTTTCCTTGACTTTGAACGTGAGACCATCCGCTTCTTATGTTTTGTTTTTTTTCATTTGGATCGCTTTTTACTTTGTCGCCTTTTTATGTCCACCCCTCATGCATCCTAATGAGCTGACCATCTCTGCGTTCAAGCCTCTCCTTTCTTTTCCACCCGGGATTGGCATTTGCGAATCTTTCATTATTTATTTATTTATTTTTAACTGTTCTGAACATCACAAAAGTTGACAGACACACAATAGCAGAATGGCAAGACAACAATGAGGTTACACAAGAGTAGCGAATGCCGGTCCTGTGTGGGTTTGTCTTGCGCCGGGATGCCGATGGCTTTAAAAAAAAAAAAAAAAAAAGTCTCTCGGCATCTGATCACCTCCTCGTATGTGTGTCACTTGTGCATATGTGTTAATTGTTGTGTATGAGCGGGATGACAGAAAGCGAGAAAGATTTTGCCAAATGAAACCACCCCTGTCCTTCCTTTTCCCATTTCTCCTTCACAGTTTTTCAAATGTGTTCACAATTTGATTCTTAAAACAGCGGTGCCTTTGACTTACAAGTTAAATATCTTCCGTGACCGTGCTCGTACCCCAAATAATGCTTCCCCAATTGAAATGAATGCAAATAGTAATTGCAATAATACGTTCATGCCCCCGTCAAACATCAAACAAAAATGGTTTACTTTTGAAGAAAATATCCAAGGACATCAATGTCTTTGCCTTTTTGTGGCTCTTCCAGTCTCTCTGAATCTCTGTTACTGTCCCGAATGCAAACCAAAATGGTTCTAACGGAGGCTACCTACCGAAAATCAGCATCAAGCGAGTGAGTCAGAAATCAAATAGCAACACAGTTCTGTATATGAGCAAATATCGGGATTCCTTAGCGGGGAGGAGAAGGCCTCAAGGTCTAAGATTAGCCTCATTTCTACCTGAGTCACATGCAACACAGATAGCGGAGGGAAAGCGCAAAAAAACAAACAGCGGGATGACTCAAGAGGCCTCATCCATTGTTATGTGCCTATCCCGCAAATGTTTACTCTTCCCCCACACACATCACGGGCACGCGGCAGACCACATGGGACCAAGACGAGAACAAAGCTCAAGTTAACAGCTTGAATGTTGCTCACGTGCGAAATAAACGCGATCTTCCCATTCACAAAAACTGAGAGGAGAAGGATGGGAAGCTTAGGTAATAGCTCGTGTCACCTAATGAAAACTATAATCATGATATTTGGGCCCCCGATATCGATCATGTAAACACACACCAAATGATATGACTGGAAAATCAAACATCTGCAAAGCATTTGAGAAAAGAACACTTGCAGAATATTTTTTTGTGCATAAAACATAGGACATAAAATATCGACAAATATGTGAATACGTACCTTAACAAATATTAAGAGACATACATTTTCAATTTTAAAAGAAAATCGACCTGTCTCAAATGTCGGTTTTAAGCCTTCTAAATGGACTTTCACATTTATTAATGAATCATGTTTTAGTCGCCCAAAGGAAGTAATTCCTTTTTACAGTGACCGAGCATGATATCTGAATGGACTACTTATGGAAACACTGTACTGTGTATGTATACGATGCTGTGATGTCGCAACAAATCAGGCTTTTATCTCAATCTTGAGGGGGCAACACCGTTTCAGCACACAAATCTTAATTCTTACAACATCCAACCCTCTTATCTCTTCCCGCTCCTTACTTCACACGTTCACTTCCTCCCCGTCCTCTTTCCATCCCTTCGTTCCCTCATCTCGTCTCAGATGCCCAGCCCACCGAGGCCGAGACGGCCGTGTGGAACCAGGTCAGCGCCGTGCTGGAGGAGGCCCACGGGATTCTGGCTGAGCTGCAGTCCTATAACGGCGCCGGGCAGGAAATACGAGAAGTAAGTGTTGGTGGACAATAAACCAAGCTCAGTGTGGACATGTTACACAAGATACGGCAATGCATGAGCGTATAACATGCGACTGACATCTACCTATAGGCCATTCAGAACCCGGGTGACCTGGCTCTGCAAGAGAAGGCCTGGAATGCAGTGTGTCCTCTGGTGGCCAAGCTGAAGCGCTTCTACGAGTTCTCACTGCGCCTGGGTGAGCGAAGAGAATATTTGTTATCATACATACGTGCGCGTGACATGTGGTTACACTCACTCAGACTGACACGCTCGCATGCACTCACAACGCTCACTCATTCGCCTACTCACAGTAAACACGCACGCCCACACAGTCAGTCATTTGTACACTCATATACACCCTCATACGCAGGTAGCCCTCACTCACTCGCTACTAATTACCGCCAACAACCAAACTACCTCACTATGAACTACCTCACTAGCTACCTCCCTAACTACATACTATTGACTCACTAACTACTCACTCACTCTCATACATAGAAGCAGTTGTTGCTACAGTAACCGTGATGGAGCAGACGGATGAAGTGAGCCTGCCCAGCCGCCTCCTCTGCTCTGCCTACTAACATCGTGAACACTGAACATTGTGTTCCCACTGTATCGCCCAAAGCCTCACCAATTATTCATGTGAATGTATCAGCGCTAATGTTTCCATTTTAACCATCTATCACCTTGCTAGTAAGCTACTACTATCTAGCTAGCTCGTAGCAACCTACTTACCTCCCTTCCTACTACTCTTATGAGCTTTAGCTTCTCCATCAAGGATCTACATTATGAACATATCCACCCTTTTCTTCGACCTTTTACAAGAAGGTAGCGTACGGTATGACTCTTGCCCAATCTGTCATTTTGCCCTCAGCGATTATGGGTGGTGAGGAGGAGGAGGAGGAGGAGGTGGGAGGAAGGGCGAGGGCCCTTTAGATGAAACACTTGACTTTGTATTTATAGAGGGCCCCTATACATTTTTAATGGAGAGATGGGACCCTGTGATGCTTTCTCCCACTCTGTTGGAGCCAAATAGACCGTCTCGCAGGACCTTTGAGGCAGTAAGAGCATTTCAAAGGTCACACGGTGTTGTACTCCAGGGACACGATCACCAATACTCTAATAGTTTGGCTTATTTAGTTACATGAGAGGGACGGAACATTAAGTCCACCTCAAACTCAAAGCTTCACACATCTAGCTACCTAGCTATTGACCTACCTACCTATCACCTCGTTGGCTACTTTAGCTACCCATCTATCTAGGTAGTTAGTGCTACTTTTTGAACGAACAAAGCACCGACCTACCATTCTATCACCGAGCCAGTTTTCTACCTACCTACGTAGCCAGCTGATTAGTTTGCCATCGAGTTAGCTCTATCCTTTCAACGAGCAAGCGTCCCACCAAATAACTCTATAATTGCTACCAGTTTATCAAAATAAAATATCAAGCTTGTCCCTCAACCAACCTACCCCTATCTACGTCTAACTTACGAACGAGAAAAGATTCCTATGTACCAACCAACTTAACTAGTTAGCGTTACCTTTTCAACTAGCAAGCTACCTGTGTACTCATCATCTCGCCAGATAGCTAATCATACAGCTGGTTAGGTAACTAGAGATGCCATAGATAAGATAGCTATCTTATTTGCTTTACCATGTCTACTCGCTACCTACCTGCCCACTCACCTACCAAAATATAAAGTAGATATCTCTGACTCAAAGCCTGAAACAGACTTTCACTTCGTGACAAGATTAGAACAAATTACACCTGCCTGCGCAGAGGAACATTAGTGTTTTTAAAACTCAATTTCTAAAATGTTCTCCACATTCGTTTGCGTGTAGAAAATGCCCTGCGCAGCCTGCTGGAGGCGCTGACGAGCCCGCCTTACGCCCCCATGCAGCACCTGGAAAGAGAGCAGGCCCTGGCCAAGCAGTTTGCAGAGATTCTCCATTTTACGCTCAGCTTTGATGAGCTCAAGGTGAGAAATATAAAAATGTTTTTTTTCCTTAGACTAAACACAGAGGTGGACAATCTATGCTGAGCCACACAATCCTAAAAACAACTGAAACTACCGAGGAACTACTCTACAAAACCTGAAAACACTAATTGTCAAAAACTTTTGTTGTCTGTGTGCAGATGACAAATCCAGCCATTCAGAATGACTTCAGCTACTACAGGAGGACCATTAGTAGGAACCGGCTTAACAACCAGCAGGTAAGGGCCTGCTATTTATCTTATAGAATTTATTCACATCAATATTTGTGTTAAAATGTCTTTGAGTAGGTTTGTTGTTGTTGATAATTATATTAGCAGTTTTGTATCTGAAATTCAGCAGGATTTTTTTTTTATTTAGCTGAATATTTGATCATAACTATTTCTGAATTAATAAGTTTCAAAATTTGTTTTGATTCGTTGTATACTTTGAATAATTTTAGACAGAAAACGTAAATAAGTAGGACATTTGACAAAAAATTTAATGTAAAATGTGCATCAGTTGGAAGCGGAAAACGAGGTGAACAACGAGATGGCCAACCGAATGTCGCTGTTCTACGCTGAGGCCACGCCCATGTTGAAGACCCTGAGCAATGCCACCACCAAGTTTGTCTCAGAGGTAGCTAACATTTTTTACATCGAAGCAAATGTCCAATGGGGAAAAAAAGAAAAAAACAACACAAATACTTTTCCCTTTGTCCACTCAGTTTGGGTTTTGCCGAATAATTTAAATTGAAGTTTATCCTATTCATCACAAGCACGGAAACCAGAGCGTTTACAGGTGGAAAAACTACCAATTATGAGTTGATGCTCTGTCTTCACTTTGTATTGAACATTGGAAAAGTTACTTGTGTTGTTGTTAATAATCGCTACAAAGCGATGTTTACATTTTAATGTTAAACTTGCCTTCCTTCAGAACAAAACCTTACCCATCGAGGACACCACAGACTGCCTGAGCACCATGGCCTGTGTGTGCCGTGTCATGCTTGAAACCCCGTGAGTACTTTTTTTTTTCGCATCTCCGGTTTTTCCTGTGGAGGCACAAAAGCCTTTTGATCATATTTGATTTGAAGTCCTTATACTAGTACGCTCTCAGCCCGAGTTTCGAGTCAACTACAGCAGTAGCGGTGTGTGTCTTTCAGGGAGTACCGCTGCCGGTTCACCAACACGGACACCATGTTGTTCTGTATGAGGGTGATGGTGGGCGTCATCATCCTCTACGACCACGTCCACCCCGTCGGGGCGTTTGCCAAGACCTCTAAAATCGACGTGGGTGGTGTTTTGCTGAATATGACGTTTTCAAGTTGCCTCCTTGGTTGCTGATATTATGAAGTGAACACATGATATTCAAAGTCGGTATGGTAAACATGATTAGTGGATGCAATACTAAAGCCTAACTGGTGCGCCTCGACTCACTTCAACATAGTTCCTGGGGACCAAGAAGCTATAAGACAGTGGCGAAGCAAGATTTATCTTTGTCAAAATGGAGCTCCTCAACTCATTTGATTGCAATGTCTTGGTACAGAGATGCTACAAGATGGTAGCAAAGAAATACTTTTGTATAAACGGGGCACCTCAACTCACTTTAACTTAGTTCCTTGGGCCCAAAATGCCACAAGATGGTGGCAAAGCAATACTTTGAGTACACTAAGAGCAAACAATGGTGAGACAGGTTCCAAAACCATTTTTTAATGGTCTGTCTCTTCCATCCATTCACATTTAGTCTGGGGAAAATAAAAATTGAACGAAATTATTTTCAAAAACAATTTTTTTCCCTCCCTACATAATTGCAGTTTGTTTTATAGTAATCGATCCAAACAAAACTATATCAAACAAACAAAAAACACAATTTCAACCGGAGTGTCAGATTATTTCAAATGTTCAACCCTAGGTTGTTTGTCACCCTCTTTTAAAATCACCAAAAAGAATTGGCAATCCCAGGGATTATTATTATTATATTCGACTATTACGCTGTAACAAGGAGTCAGCGGGTTCTTTATTCCTCTGGCGAAAACAACTGAAACAATTTTCCCTCCTTGACTGCTTTTCAAAGCGCTGGCGGGCCCAGAGTATTTTGCTGTGTCATTGTTTGGACCGCCGCTGGCAATGAGGCGGCACGGAAGAATTATTGCTGACCTTTTGTAAGCACCCGTGTTGTCTTTACTCCCGCACAGATGAAGGGCTGCATCAAGGTCCTTAAAGAGCAGCCGTCCAACAGTGTGGAGGGACTTCTCAACGCACTGAGGTGTGTGTCCGTCCGTCCGTCCGTCCGTGTCAGCTTGCGAGGGTTTTCTACAAAATATAACTGTAATTAGGACATTACCCTTAATCATTCTGTTAATTGTACTACTGTACTTTTGATTGGAATGTATAATGAGTGTTTCTTTTCAAATATGACTTCAGCTGTATTTTATACAGCAAAGGTACTTCAATTATCCAAATACTGCAAGAACTCAATAACTATAATTAAGAAAGATAAAAAGAAAAAAAAAAGATTAGGCCTACTCATTTCTTACTGGCTACACTGTTCGAATCACGATGTACATCGTCTGTGTGCTCCTCAGGTATACGACACGACATCTAAACGACGACAGCACCTCCAAACAGATCCGGGCACTGCTGCAATGAACTAGGGAAGCGGGGATGGGCGTGCACTTCAAAAGGAAAAGAAAAGAAAGAGCGAAACACCAACGAAGGGGCCCGTTTGCTTACGACAAATAACTCCGGATGACGAGAATAACAAAAAAAAAAAAGAGTTCTATTTATTGTCAGCTGTCCTCCATTTTGTCTCTTGTTTTGTAAAGTAAGAAAATAGAGATGATTAAAAAAAGCCAGAAAATATAAGATATATATAAAAAAAAAAAAACCCAAAGCAGCAGATTAAAAATAAGTAGAATTACCAACAAGAGAGGACGCTTTTATTGCCAATTTAGGTGCGAGTGGATGCAGAGCTGACACTTAATTCCTGCGGTAGTCCTGACAAGTAAGTTTGCGATTCTCCCACCAGGCTGAAGTCTCAATATACAGTGAAGCAATGTGATGGACGATTTCCGGAGAATTGCTTTCCAATATTTTGGAGTGTTGAGGATCAGCTCGGTGGAAGAATGTCATCATTTTTATTCTTTTCTTTGAGTTCACGTCGTAGGCTATTACTTGTGCAACATAGTTCTCTCTCTCTCTCTCTCTCTCTCTCTCTCTCTCTCTCGGTGCTAATGTCCTTTTAGCTATCACTGTGCTTACTTGTCATCCACCTGAGCACTTTGCACTAGTTTCAAAGTGCTGCTGCTTCTTTATTTTTTTTAATTTTAATTTTATTTTTTTGGTGAAGCCTTAGCATTGCTTTCTGCTACCGGGACAAGTTGCAAGAAAGACATTCATCACCTATTAACCCTCCTGTTACGTTCGGTTCTCAGGAACAACAATTTGACCCAGGACTTGTTGAGCTATTCAAAAAAAGTGTCCAAAACAAAACCAGAAAACACTGCTTATATGTCATGATCAAGGCAACTTCTAAGAATTACAATCAAAGCTTTATAATCAACATCTCACAGTTCATGCAAGTAATTTCAGGACGTGTTGAATTATCCAAAAAGGACTGAGACAAAACAACAACAAAATACCAATAAACTTTGCTTCTGTTTTTTTTCCCCCCCACGACAAACAACAGTGTCAATAATGTTCCGGGGTCTGTTTGACCCAGAACATTTTCAATTGTCCAAAAGTGTATCGGGGGCTGAGGGGGTTATTTCTCATTATTTATTGCATTAGCGACCACTGTGATCAAGCTTTTGTGCATTACCTCTCACAAATCATCAGACCAACAATGTGTTGGGTCAATTTGACCCGGGCCAAATTTAAATTAATGGTTAGTATACTTAAGTCTACTACAAACAATTTCAGTCTTTTTTATTATATAATTTAATAGGAGTGATGTTTTTAAAATAAATGTAGGATTTTATAAAAAGGAAAAAAAATACTCGTTCTTTTGTTTGCTTTTGTTCTGTATTTCTGTTCTGTATTAAAATCGGGTCCATTTGACCCGTAACATAACAGGAGGGCCAAATCCTTATTTCTCATTCTATTTTTCACACACACACACCAGTTTTGAAGGGAAGTCGTGCTTCATCAAATGTGACATCAGCAGACATCGACGACTGCAAGAACATTTGGCATTTATTCAGCTAGAAAAAAATTTCCCAGCTTCGTCAGCCAAGAAGAGTCACACTCCAAAAAACAACAACAACAAAAAAAAAAGAGACTTAAAAAACTAATTTAAAGCAGTGCTGTACGTTGGATGTCTATAGGCTTTTAGTCTACATCGATTTGATCTCTTTAAATTATATTTTCTATACAGGGGTATGTGCACAAGCATAGTCTGTATCAAGTAGATGGCATGTTGTACGAGGTCTGGGCGAACGTGTGTAAATAGTGTGTTTTTATTCATTTTTAATTGTTCAGTGATGCTGAAATGGGTGACATGTGGCGTCTTTCTCACGTTGACCATGCGTCTGCCTAATTGGACCATCAGACTTGCCGTAGTCATAGGGATTTTTTTTTTTTCGATATTCCAGGGATTCAGCTTTCATCATTGCAAATGAACTGGAGCGGGAAGGGAGGGGGCGAAAGTGGTGCGTGTGTTTGTGTGCGCGCAAATGTGTATGTTAGGATGGGTTGATGGGATGGGGGCTATCCATTTGCTTGTTATTTTGTACATTTTGTGCAACAATAAACTTGTCATTTATTACATCCACCCGCTGCTGTGCGTCATTACAGCATACTCATAACATTTATTATACATTCGCATTGTTGATATAATGCTCTATTTCTATTTACAATTTTATTCGCGAACCAAAAAGTTCACATTATATTTACTTTATTGGATTAAATTATCTTGATTATGAATCTTTCCTTGATACATTGAACATTTTTGATACATACACTCTGACATTATTCATTTATTAATCACCATTGCTGTTATGCTCCTGCACAATTACATTTGTCACGTATTTTACTATTTTATTCAGTATAGTTTTTTTCCCCTCGTTAGGGAGAACGGGACTCTTCGTCAAAAGGGTAGTGTCACACTGTAATTATCTTCTCCACCAGAGGGCGCAATTTAAAAAAAATGGAGCCGTTTATTCCTTTTTGGCTCAGGCGTCAGTCCCGTCTGAGAAGAGAATAGCCCATTCTTCTTGATATACTGTAAATCCGAGCGGTGATACATGTGGACTTGTTTCACTAAGGAATCTTGTCATGCCTCAATCATGGTAGTTTGGGTCAACATGTCTCAGTTGTTTTGGGGGTTAGCTGTCACGTGCGTCATATGTAAAGAATGGGCCAAATCTGTGTAGTATGACTTAACCTTTATTCGGTGTCTATCATCAATATATATATTTTTTCAAGCTCAGTGACAAAGATTTATGTTCGTGACTTCCTCGTTTTATTAGTTGCAATGTGATGTCATAGGCCATTTAGTGAGGCAACATTCCTGATGGTGGGGCAACAGGGTCCTTCATCTGGTACACGTTTTGTGTGTATTACGATGTATTGATTCCAATAAATACGTAAGAGTGTGGCATGAATTCCCGGTGTACCCCTACATTTATTTGTCTTCCATTAGTTTCGTAACCTTTTCAAACATTTACATTTTTGACAGAGCTTTGATGACGCATTACGAGCCAATCAATACTCTATCAAATATCAGATGGGATTCAAATCCATGACCTCCGAACTGTGAGGTGTTACATTTATTATTTAAACTATCAAAGCGCTCTCTAAATACACCGGATACAAATACTGCACTTATATTCATTCCTATTTTCAATTTACAATTTAGTCTAAATTGTTCAAAACATAGTGTACACTTTTCAATGGGCATGTCTGTCGCTGCAGTTACATTTTTCCACCACTAGAGGAGAGCAAAGGACTGCTTTTTAGGCAAAGACTTCGCCTTCGAGATTGTCACACACAGAGGAATCAGTGAGACTTCAACATGAGAAACACAGCAATTCATGACGAATGCCGCTCATGACTGCAGCCTTACATTTCATATGATATGAGATTTTTGATGATATGAGATGATTCGCTCCTCTTTCATCTATTACTGCTTCAAACAACAAAGTGAATGGAGGAAAAGTGGTTGAGATGGCACGACTGTCTGTTTTATGTGTTGTGTTGTATTATTTTCTCATTTTATGTTACGTGTTCTTTTGATGGCGGCGCGGACACCCGCAGCGGCTCCTCTTGTTGTTTGTTGTCTGTTTAAGAGGGAAGAAATTTCATCTGTGCTGTATGTTACTCTATGTTACACATACAGCACATTTGACAATGAAGTTGTACTTGATACTTGATGAGGGGAATCCACTGCGGTGGATTTGAACATACCAGAGCGGGTACAGTTGGGAAGGGGAAAAACACACACACGCGGTGACTTGTGAGTTGTGCAACTCAAGATGAAAAAAACACAACCTCAATCCTGTCGGAAAATATATAGCGGCCCCTTATACATACATGCAAAGCAATTGCAGTGACAAACAATGACTGGAGGAAGCCCACTCAAGTAAAGGAAGCGTGTTTGTCAGCATTCGTTTGGTGGCCAGCCCTAACTGTCAGGCCATAATAACACAACCGGTCTATCTGCTTCCTAAATAGCACACATTCAACTCCAGGATTTGAATTTAGGGCCTCGATTAGGTGCCATAAAAGGGGAGGAGGGGTAATTTACAGTTACTTTCACGAGCCTTCGTGCAGGAGCCATTTGAATACATCTACAAAACATATATAAATATGTTAATGTCTTTCTGTCAGAGCATCCGAAGTACTTGCTGAGGGGTTGACTCCTCTTATTATCACCATTACTGAGAGACCTACTCTGTCATTGCGCATTCTATTTGACTGTATTTAAGCAAAGCGTGGCCAGAGGCGATGATTCACTCAAATTCAGATGTCGTTAGCGTCCCTTAGCAGGGCAGGGGGCATATGCATTTTTGGGGCTCATCGCAAAGTCACATTACTTTACATTGCGATATGACAGAGTCTGAATGCATTTTTGGAAGAATAAATGAAACAATAATACTGGTAAATTAGAAATTATGGGCAAGTGAAAGTGGTCATTTAGTGTCCTTGACCTCACTATACATGGCACGCTTATAATTTTATGAACTACATGAAGGTTAATGATTAAAAATACAGCCTGAATATTTCATGGGAAGAAAAAAAAAGAATCAGGTTTTCATTTCACAATAAAGTTCAAAATCATCATCGTTAAAATAATATTTGATATTTGACACTGATACTGCATCATTGATAAGCGCAAATACAGGACATCACATTATTATTTTTGCTCATGTTGAGCCGGATCTCGATTAAAAACATGTTTTTAACCCTCCCTATGCAGCAGCCATCAACAAAGTCTGACAAAAACGATTCAAGTTGTTTTTTGTGTCATCCTGTTAACTGGTAGAAAAATGGCATTATTCAAAAAAAAAAAAAAAAGGAAAGAAAAAAACAAGCTCCCTGGCTGAGGTAAGAACATACAAGCGAGGAAGTAAAGCATTCAAGCCTATCATACAGTATCATTTTCATATATTCCAAAATGTCACCTTAAAACGTTTTGCACACAAACCCCGAAGCTGTGCTCTGGCTCTGAGTGCCCGCTGCCACAGTGTTCCCTGTGTTCCACTTTGACTGCCACCTAATTTGATCAACAGCGCGTAGTAGTTTCCCTTTGGGAGGTTGCCTTTCCCACCTTTCGCCAAACAACCTGTTTGGCATCGGCCAATAGGAGAAAAAGAAAAAAGACAAAAAACATGTCTGGAATCAGTGAAATTGCCTGCCGTCCACCAATCGTTTCCTTTTAAGGATGCGCAACAGGCTTTCAACAGGTTTGAGGTCACAGGATGATGGTCTGGGGCCTGGAGCCCCCAACAACTACACGAGTTATCCGCGGGCCTGTTCTGAAAATAGCGTCAAAGTGATGGGACATGGTGATTCCCGAGGGAATTGATCATATAGAAAAGGGAGCATTACTATTGTTTTGTACGGTTATTGTTGTGCCCATAGTTCACTCTTGAGCAACAGGGTAACTGTCGTCAAATTTGTGATTTTCCAAGTGTGCATCAAACTGGCCGGCAAGAAGTCGCGGTGGGTTTCAAAACAGTCGCTGACCCCTGATCGAGATAAACTGCGCCAGGACACGTGGCTTTCTCGCGTTTGGCGCGCGTTACGCAACGGCCGCCGTAATAGCAGGCGCCATGGAGACCGCTCGCAGTTGTTGGACACACATGTGCGCACACAGTCTCGTCGCCCCGGTTTCAAACAAAGGGCCGTATTATGTGAAGGTGTGTGCTTCAGCATTCTGAGCCTGCGCAACCCACTTGCATGACGCAATGAAATGCCGCTGTTCCCCACATATGTCCAAATTCACACAAAGGGACACACTTGCTTGATTAGAATCACAGTTGGATAACAGGCACCAGACCATGACCCCCCCTCAACAGGTGCAGTATTTGATCCAATACACCCAAAGTAACACAAGGCGTCCTGTTGATTGTTCAGCATGCCCCCTTGTGCAATTGACCCTTTTTCCTACAAATATCGATTTGTTTGGGGAAATCAAAATTGAAATTGTACCATTATGAGTTTCTCCGCTTTTGACCTGGAAGCTTGGTTGTCTGAAGAATCGCCATTTTCAAGTGAAGGATGGACGACACCGCCTGAAACATCAAGTCAAAGCCATAAAGTAAATACACTGCTGCACCACCGAGTTTTGAAAGAAGCACAGAAGCATGCTGCCTCCATGGGTGAAAATAAGAATATGAAAATCTATGATCGTTTTTTAATTCTGTAAAAATAGATAAATAAATTTTAAAAAATGCACAATGTCTCCTTGAGACAAAAACACAATTCATTCATGAATAGCACAGTAAAAGGTTTAAATCTCTAACATAAATAAGAAAAGATCAGACTTACCTCATAGATGTATCCGGCAGTGAATGCGTTAAGCGCCGCAGAAGGGGAGTCTCCCTGCCCGGCCCACCCAGTCTTCATTTGCATATCAGGCGGGAAAGCTGTGGCTCTTTGTTGCCTAGCCGCCCCATTTAAAAAAAAAAAAAAAAAAAAAAAAAACACCCACAAAAAACACTACACTAGTGGGAAAATGAGCCGGCACCAGGCCACCCGCAACAAAGGAGGCAAGCCAGACACGCACTGGCTCTTTTGTCTCACACACGCACACACACACACACACACACACACGCACACACACTCATATCCTATTTATGGTCTGATAGAGGATACAAAGATAGGTGTGATACACACATTAAAATAACAAGCAACCATAGTAGCGTGTGAGTGTGTGTGTGTTTGTGCGCCTTGGGAAAAGAGTTCAGTGGGTGACTGGAAAAAAACAGGAAGGCACGTTATGGTCGGGAAGAAGGGGGAGGAAAAAAGTACCGAACAGCCCCGTATTACATAACCAAGCAGGAAACATGCAGCAGAGAGCAGGAGGCTTGGAGCCAAGCAGGGAGAAACTATAGGCAAGCACGCGGCCGCTGCACCTATGAAACTTAATGGCTTGCCTCATCTAATCACATTTCTTCCTCTCCTCAAGCTGACACTTTTATCTCTCATGGCCGTCTCACTCCACTCAGATGGAGAAGGAGTATGCGTGCATGCGCAGGTTGGGTTCAATGAGTTCATGCAGCACAGTTTCTCACACACACACGCGCACACACATCAATAAATGATAACCTGCACTTGGATGCATACATCACACTTCATGGGGACGGTAAAAAGACATTGGTGTGTGTGCGTGTGTGTAATCGGTAATGCATACAATGAAGGAAGCATGCACACACACACACACACACACACACACACACACACAAACGGAAGAAGTCACACCTGAGAGTGTTGTGTTTCCCGTGCAGTTATGCAACTTCCTGATAGGACTGTAAAATGTGCGCACACACACGCGCACATCAATGTTTCAAAGGCTGTAAATGAGAGAATGGTGTCAAGTATGAATGATGAGGAATGTCTACGTACAAATGAAACACACTCCAAAAAAAAAACCCCCACAAACATACATACAAAACATACTAACACACACCAAAAAACCCAAACAATGAAACATACACACAAACAGACAAAATCACCTTCATACCCAAAAACGCACAACCAAATACATGAGCACACGCACCCCAAAACACACAGGCAACGGAAAATGACATCCACACACACCTCTACCCACGTACCCCACCCAGCCACCTTTATGCAGGTTCATTTGTATTCGTATTAATCTGATCCTCATTATTACGGTCAGTCGCCATATCAAGAGAGCGCGTAAATACCGACTCGACAATTAGCCTCTTCTGGGAGGCCTCGGTGCGTGTCAGCACGTTTGCTCGTCTCGCCGGGGCCAGATGGCAGAGAGTGTTTAGCGGGATGGGATTAGAGATTGGGATTAACTTCAAATTACCTGGACGCTCAATCACTGGATGGCACATTACTATCCCAGGCCGAATGGGTGCAGTCAAATCCCCAACAAGTGTACGACTGGCTTGACGCATCATTTTTTGTGTGTGTGTGTGTGTGTGTGTGTGTGTGTGTGTGTGTGTGTGTGTGTGTGTGTGAACACATTTTTCCTGATTGTCTTTAAATCTGTTTGGAAATTCTACAACTGTAATAGGGGGAAAAAAAAACATTTAGGCATCTGGTGCGTGTATGATGTGTTACATAACATGAGCGTCTACACCATAGGCTGTCTGTGATATATGTTGGCTGCTTCAAAAAGCCAGACGCCCGAGCCAAAAATCCAGGGCAAACCGACTAGACGCGTAATAAGCATCCTATAAGCTGCAGCCACACGTTGCATAACCAGTCAGCCGGCAGGCAGCCCCCCCTCCCCGCCCCCGCGGGTCCCACCTATAGAAACAATCCAACTGCCAAAAAAGTGAAGAGAAATAGCACTCCATTAGTGTTTTGTCTTCTAAAAAGTCATAATAATTCAATATACTTTTTATCGTTTCAATATTAATCTTGGAAGGAGGGAACTGATTCCCAGTTATTTTTTCCGTGCAGTTATAAGAGCATCAATTCGCAATTGTGCTGCTCATTCTGGTGTGGCAGCCGAGGTGCCGTATGATACACAAAGACGACACCGAGAAACCCGGGTGAATGACTCGACGAAGATGCAAAAAAGATATTTTCTATGTTTTCTACAGAGGATAAAGAATATGTGCTTGCGAGTGTAGCCCAAGCGATATGGATTTCCTTAGGCTGATGCAAATTCCAATATTTGGCAGAACACAATTCTGATACCCAATTAATCAAATATTATTCACCCAACTGCGGCTGCTTGTGAAGCTAGCACTTGCAAGTCAAATTTCTGCTTGCAACCCGAGACACAAAAAAAAACAAAAGAAAACGACCTAGGCTGAGTCAATCGCAATTCAGAGCAGGAAAGTGCGTATGTCCTGTGAGCGTACGCCGAGTTGCTATAACACAGTACTGTCTGGTCTAATGAATGCAGCAGTAAATGCCACAAGATTTGCCATAAGTGGACTTGTGAGAGTCTTAAACTGAGAGGTTATTTAAGTTGAGCGCAGAGATTCACTGCGTCGGGCTGTGCAAATGACTAATTAGCCTTGTGACCTAGCATGCTGCGCTACTTTTATTCACCCCCCTCTCCTGCAGGGGCATGTTCAGGTCAGTCCTTGTGTCAATGAACAACTCCAGCCTCTTTTTATTTATTTTTGTAAATGCCTGAAGGTGTCACAACAAACCAGCTGGTAGGATACCCATCCACTAGTCCTTAAAAAAAGTACTTAACAGCACATCACACGACTGAATGAATTCAAAGACTCAAAAATGGGAACATGATGTACGACGTGACAAATACAAACACAGCAGAAGAGAGGGGAAAGGATGGGGGGAGGGGAGGGGGGGGTGGAGGCAAAGTGGCTACCAAGTTTGGATATACAAAAAGCATCCAACAGGAGGAAGGAAAAGAGACGGATCCACAAGAGAGTTATGAAAAGGCTGTTGCATGGGGGACCTTTGTTACCTCCGCCAAGGAAGTAATGCTTTTGATTGTTCCCTGCAGCGCCCGCCCATCCCGCAAGCGTAAAATTACACAGTCAAGTGAATCTTTTGTTCGCCGTCGACTCCGTGAGGTTCTGAATGTCCCCTGAATCCTGACTTATTTTTTTTCTGGAGGAAGGCTGGGTGAATATCCAGCATTTTTCGAGACACCACATGCACGGATCTGCGTCGCATAGCACAATGTCAGTTCAAATCTCTGCCTTGGCAACGAAGTGCTGTCTTCACAAGTGAAAATGCAATTGGCTGGGGCTTGCTATCTATAAAACCCACAAACGTATTTCTTTGTGAGTAAAGCTTGTGTGCATTTTTGATTGCCTGTTAGATCTGTGGCCTGTATAATTATAGTCCCTCCCTTCACTTCAACATAGTTCATTGGCCCCCGAGATTCCACAAAATGGCACCAAATTGTTGAATTTGTAAGAAGTCAATCAGCAATTAGCAGGGGAAGAATGGAAACGTTGCATACACACGGAATAAGTGTTGGCTCAAACAATGACGGATGGTGCGATCTGATCTGACACTAACCTTCGAGTTCAACTTTCATTTCTTTCGAGGTTGCCCTGCCGTCTTTTTACCATTTATACTCTCTCTTTGATTTGACTTTCTTCCTGCAGCCGCCTGCACGGAGATTGGCGACAGTCCAATGGATGTTAAATTTCGGAATAATACGTGCAACTGTCATATGAGGAACAAGCTGCTTGGTAATGGTCTTATATAGCATTTACCTTTAACATGCCTGCCTATAATTTTCTTTCTAATCTACTGAGACAATGCAATCAATCGCTTCCTCTGGTCCATATTTAATGTGGTACGCACCATGTCACCAAAGAAGTGGACATGTTACAGGCCTGCTTCAAGAGTTTGTATTTAAAAAAACAACAAAAAAAACAAAAAAACAAAAAAAAAAAAACAACATTGTTTGACCACAATACAAAGATTTTCACTGGTTAGCTTTCATTTAATTTTTACCACCACCTGTGAGGTTTTCGTTCATTAACAGAGGGGGTACCAACAATTTTGTCCACAGGCGTAAGAAGCCGGTGTATTTACAATTTGTCATTGAGCTATTAAGACCACAGTAGGCATCTTATATTACTGTACTGTACTGTACTGCGAAGGCTCAGCTTGAGGCCTGACCCAGTTTTTCAAAGTAGGACAGACACGCTTATTTACAGCTACAACACCACTCGGAAATGTTTGGAGTCATGCGGTCGAGGTGTGAGGTGATGGGGTGAAAAGTAGGGAAGTGGAGGGGGTAGGGGATGGGGGCGACGCCACAGGTGATGAGAGCGAACAGGAGTGCCAAAAAGAAAACCGCTCTGGGCGCACGCCAGGTATTGTGTAAGCCGGACAAACAAAGACGTTGCGATCACTGCCGGGAAAACTCTCTCACCTCGCAGACTTGACCGACGACTCGCGTGTGACAACTCAATTGAGAGTAAGACAAAGGCCGCAGTCAAGGGGGTGATCGCACAAAAAAGAGCCGTTAAAAAGCGCGACAAAGGCCGATTACCTCTGCCAAGGAAGTTGTTTAACAACTTTGTTGATTTGTGGAAAATGTGGATGTACCGTATATGGCAAGGGTGAAAGATGTGTTCAATTCTCTCAGTGTGCTTCTTTTTCAGGCTTTCGTGTAGCACACATACTGGTCACTCTGTACTTTGTCAGGATTTGTGCGTAGCACACTGCTGCCAGCTTTGTGAAAATACTTGTTTTTTTTTTCTTTCGACAATAACACATTAATGACGAGTGACGCGGATATATGTATATATATTTTTTATTAAATTTTCCAAAACCCACAGGGTTAAAATGTAATTACAATATAAATTAAAAGATTTGACGGACAATAGGAGCAACCAAAAAAATGATGCAAGTAAGGCACATTATTTCTTCAGATACACCTATTGATCAATTAATGAAGCAGGGACTAATTGGTTCTTTTGAAATTGTAATTCTGCAACAAAACAAAGACAAGTCTATGTCTGGAGGGGAGGGACTTGGATTTTTTTTCACTTCCTCTTGATGTAACGGCCAGGTGTCCAAGTAGCGTATGGTCTGTAATTGCAGTGTCCACAAAAAAAAAAATAATAATAAAAAAAATGCAAGTCGAAAATAAAGCTTGCTCCAAAGTTTAAGATGTAGTGCTCCCAACATTGTATTTTCCTCCTGTCACAGGTCCAGTAGGTCTTTCATCCAAAGGTCAACATATTTATGTCCGGAGAGTGCATAATCTCCCTTGGTATGCACCTTACAAAAACATTATTTTCAGTAAAACAATGGTCAGATTTGCTCCAAAACCCCATGAAAAAAAAGAGAGGGTGGGAACATATTTTCTTCCATTTCTCCACAGTTCCTGTAACTGTAATGTTCAAATAACCTTTGTCCGTATAATGTATCTGTAGTGCGCTTTTCCACAAAATCGTGAAGCAAAAAAATAATCCGAGCTCGGACTGAATCCAAACAGTTTCCGTGATGAACTGTGAAATACAAATGTTCCAATTGAAAGCAGCGTCTCATGGAAATGTTGGCATGGGCAGCACCAAGAAAATGTAGTGCCATGTATTTCCATCAGAAATACAAAAAACAGGTCCAAGTGGAACCATGCTTGATGGACTTCGTAGGACTGTCTACGGACGTTTTTGGTTTTTTTTTGAAAAGTCAAAGCCGCTTTCTTAGTGTGCTGCGTTGGTGTCCTTTGAGGAGTCCGACGGGTTTGTCCGAGTCTGCGTGTCTAACGCGGGAAGCGAAACGCGACGCTGAACGCCATTGTGACCCGCGCCATCAGACTTGAGCTTCTTCCTAACGTGGAAGTGATGCTTCTTGGACTTGAGGTGAGCTGCAGGGCAGAGAGCTACACGTGACGCCGCCTTAACGAAGCTCATTTGGCCCGGCATGATTAAAAAGTCAACGCGGCCTCGAATGTGTGTAATGTATTGCGTGTGGTTGACTGCGTCAAGGGGGTCTTACCGGCCCACTCCAGGTCGCCGATGATCACCTTGTCGCACAGGTCGCAGGTATGCCGGCTTCGTTTATTCCTTAGCTCCGCCCGCTGTAGTCTGATTGGTTCAGTCGAGGGTTTCTCACCCTGATTAAAAATAAACACAGGCCATTTTAGAATGTGGGGCGTGCGTGGTGGGGGAGATGTGATTTTCAGATATTTAGTGTTACTCCCGCTATATTGCGGTTCATTGCTCTCTGAGTTTAGTGTTGCGTGCCTCCAAGGTACGTAATGTCGCAACAGGCCAGGCAGCACTAAAATCTACTGGAAGAGATGCAGTCTAATTAACTCTTTCACTGCCAGCTGTTTTCAAAGCATTGCTTCCCATATTCTAAAGTTGTGGCATATTGTTTATATTATATATATATATATATATATATATATATATATATATTGCATAATCATTTATTAAAAACAGAAAAAAGTAAATACAATTTCAAAAGACAAGTATACTTTTTTTTTTTTTTTTAATTGTACGACGTAGGA